ATATGTATACACATAAAGTTGCAAAGAAATATTTATCATATAATTTACAGAAAAAATAATAGAAAAGCAAAAAAAAACCAGGCTACAATAGATTAAAAATCAACATATTTTTGTAATATTTATGTACATAAATTAATTCTATTCGGTCGCTACTTCGTACGGGCGAGGACCGTTCCTATGGATCGGCCGAGTTACATCTTTTACGACCGAAGTTATAAAGTTAACTGTGCAACCTTGGCGGCAGCTCATCTTTGCCGAAACTTGTGATATTTTGATCGCATCCGGTCAAACTTGTTTACTAAAAAAGGAAAAGGAGATGAAAAAAATATTACAGTAGTTTTGTATTCCAAACTAATTAATTTCAACTCTTCGAGAAGAGTTGCACAATTGACGAGAGGTTAGACTTTTGCAGACCATCTCGAATTGATATTCTTAAAAAGGTAATCCATCCCATATCCATAGTTTAAGAAATGGAAGTAGATAATTTTGTAAGAACAGAGTAAGTAAAATTAAAAAAAAAAAGAAATAAATTTAATATAACTTAATATAATTATTAATACATAATTAATTAATTGATACATAGTAATTTACATATATAAGTACAAGACGTAATAATTTTATTGTATAATAAAGAAACAACATATAATTAAAATTATAATAAATACTCTCTAAATCTCAAAATCAGTGAATAATTAATCACTATTTAGTGGCATCCCAGACAACAAAAAGTGTCTGAAATCGCGTCATAAGACATTTTTTGCATCTAAAAGACAACTTAAAGACGTCTTATGTCACAATTTTAGACTTTGTGTTGTTTGGGATACTTGGCATTGGCTAATCAGTAAAATTCGACTAAAAAAGAAAGAAAGTTTGAGTATTATTTAATTAAAATATCGATTTTTATATCTAATACCATATGTATTGAATTTATATACTAATCTCACTAAAGCAAAGTTATCTAGATTAGGAATCCTATGTTTTATTCACTGATATTTGATGGCACACTTAGGACTGATGTCAGTGATTATTTATTAATTCAAATTTAGAGAGTAATATATAATATAATAAGTAGAATTAGTGCAAAATTTCGAAAATGCCTTCAAATAAAGTAACCTTTTTCTATGCCATTTTTTGCATCAAAATGAAAATATTTGAATTATTATGCCGTTAAATCAGTGCAGTATAGATATATTTTAATATAAATTGTTACATAATCCATTACATCGAATCAGAGATGTCGCGCAGACCTGTGAAAGTATTAAGAAGAATATGTAAATCAAGACATAGCAATCAGACGCGGTCAAACTGACATAATGCATAATGGGAATAAAAAAAGAACTGGATTATGCAAGACGAACATATAACGAGATATTTATTGTAAAGACGATATAAAAGTGATTATTTTTTAAAAGACAATATAAAATAAAATAAGAAATTGTTACAGAAATTGTCACTAACTCTATGAAT